CACAGTGTTAATCAGCTGCTACCTGAAAAGTGCTAGATACCAGATTCCTCAGAAAAATGCACCTTATTCAACTCAAATAATTTTAGAAACTTTGTACCTTCCTAAAATGAGCATTACCCAAAGTAGTAACTTCACTAAGCATGTTGGTATGAAAGAATTTTCATAATTGACAAGTGTTTATTTTATAGAAAAATAGGGCATCTCTTTGTGTAAATCATGAATCTTTTGACAACCAAAGCAGAGTACTTAAGCATTTCAATCCCTTTCTTAATTTTTAAACTCGTGTTTTTCTGTATCATCTTATCCTACAGCCATATTTAGGATGTGCATGTCTGTGCAAGACATAATGCAGTCAGTACAAGCCATCCGAAGAAAGGCTGCTTACCCAGTAGTTTCTTCCAGCACACTTCTAGTGACATGTTGTATTGATTTGAATGCTCTGCAGTAAATATGGTCATTTTATATATTGAGAATCCATTTGTATACTGCATGTCCTCCACAATCGAAATATGTGTTAAAGGATGCAGTGTGTGACTCTTATTTTGAAATGCTCAGTGTGTATGCAGTAGTCAACCCAAGATTTGAGAGTAAATTAAAATTTATTTTAGCCCAAAGCATGGCACAACCCCCCCGATTTTATTCTTTCATGATACACTGGAGTTCTAATGTTTTCTGAATGCTCCAAAAATTACTGGGCAATGTTTCTACTAGAAATTGCAAATCTGTAGTTTTTGATGACAACTGGTCCACCACTGCATTGCACCTGGTGTTCCTAACATTAAGGTTATCATGTAATTTCTGTTAACAGCATATGTGCATTGCAGTAAATGCATTTTGGAGCCATCATGTCTAGTTAACAGTGTTAAACGTAGTTGCCATTCGGATGTGCAGAACATAGCAAACTGGTTTTATTACATAACTATGAATTTGTTTGCAGCTGGGTCCTAGCTAGGCAAAACAGATGCTGTAAGATATAAAAGGATTAAACTGTCTTGGTTACATGCCCAACATTTTGCTAAGTATTTTATGTAGCATCATCTGGCACACATTAATTACGTTGTATTATTACTGGTTTAGAAAACAGTTATAAATAAGAAGCCATTTTTTCCTGCTGCTTTGAACTTGGAGCAAAATGTTAATACTAACAGCAGCATGTTAAGTTTAATATTTATCATTAAATGAAAGCCTAAACAATTACCTGAGTAATGTCTGCTATCTTTCAAAGGGTCCTTCTCAGCAGGAGTTGACATCTGAAGGTCCCCACTAAAGTATGTTCTGAGAATCTCCAGTAAATTGGCTGATGGCAGCTTTTACTGTGCACTGAAGAGTACTTTAATTGGAAAGCCAAATGCCAAATTAATCACAGATTAAAATATCAAGCTGCTCAGTTCTCTTTGTAAAATCAGAAATACTCTAAAAATATTTTTGTGAAGGTGAATTTTCTCCAGATTAAAGCCAAGAGCTATATAACGAGTGAAGAGTGCTCTCAGATCAGGTTATTTTAGCAGGTTTTCATATTGTAATAGAAATAACTGCAATTAAAACTCGAAAACGAGGACAACTTTTACTACAGAAAAAGTGTAATGGCAAATATTCTTTAAAGAAAATGAAAGACATTTAAGTAAGTCCTAGAATCTCATCTAGTCTGAAGGTATATAATTTCTCTAATGTATGACGTACCCAAGTGCATTAACTTCGTGGACTTAGATGTCTTGTATACACTTAGCTATGTTACCTATGTATCACATACAGTTCTGTGGCCTCTAAAACCATTAATCTGAACACCTTGTAATCATTAATATATTTGTTCTCACAACATAGTGGTGAAATATTTTCTCTAATTTTAAGATTATGAACAGAAAAATAAATAATTACTTTGGGAATGCATAACAAAACAGAAGCAGGAGTCAATTTTAACATTAAAAGTCCTTTGTTTATCATCTTAATTTGGGTTCTTTTATAACTCTGACAAGTAAAAATATTTGGGTGAATAGGGAAGCATACCTAAAGGAACCTTCTGTCTTCCAGCGCACAACACGGTAAGTCACATAAGAAGCAGTCTTAGAAGTTAATTTGACTTTATTTGAACAGAATACAGTCATCTAGAAAACAAGCTAACTCTCTTTTTTAAACACTGACAGATGCAAGAGACAGCACAGGTATTACTAAAGAAGCAGTAGTTTCATTATCTCTTAAACTACCTAGAATAACAAAACACATTACAATTTATTAGGACAATCTATTTGTGAATACTTGCCCTAACAAGTTCTATCATGCATTCAAGTGAGATATAAACTATCCAGTCTTTAAGTTTACTAACATCCTATTATGCAAACAGTTTCAAGTAAATACTTTTACCTAATTGAAAAATCTGTCACCTTCCACAGCACCACATGAAGTTCTGGTGTTAAAATAACATTTAATCCACAGCAATAGCTAAATATTTGAAATACTTATGTAATACACTGTAAACTCTACGTAAACACTACGTACACCAAAAAAAACCATACAAAGAACAGGAAGATCATTTTGATTAGCAAAGACAACTCAAATGTATCGCCAAAATCATTTTTCTGTTCTTACGACTTATCCCCAAACCACTCCCAGTAAAGGCACAAAAAGGTGGGGTTTTTTTTTTTTTTTTTTAAAACACACAAAGCCAGAATCAACACAATAGGCCTATGCAGTCAAACACTGCTCTATTTCTAGGAAAAACAGGTAAGGAACTTGCATCAGTGTAGGGATGTCCCAGGAAGATTCTAGTCAATAAAAGATCTCCAGCACCTGCTTATTGTCCTAGGTTCAAATGCAGAAAAGAACCAGAAATTAAGTTTAGTTTAGCAGAACTTTACTGTACATCTTGGATACGAGTGCCAGCTAGAGTTACTTGCCTATGCCAAGGCAGTACTGAGGCTCATCTCACAATCAGCTATTCATGGCACTTAGTAGAGATGGCGTTTTTTAAATTAAATTGATTATTGTTCAAAAATTATACTCATAAATTATTTGACAATACTTTTACTTTCAGTAAACAAAACCTTTAAATAAATAGATCTTTTAAAATGTAGCACAACTACACAACTTACCACAATGCTTCAATACACAATGGAGTACAGATCAGAAAATTATTTAAATCATACTGACCTTTGATTATTACAGTATCTAAAAAGTTCTCCTTTACCAACCAATGATGCAATGATGCAGTGTTTGGCAAAGAAATGTTATTGGTAATTCTTTAAACAAAGATCCAAATATATTTGTTATCCCCTTTTTGTTAGAAACAGAAGCACTTAAGAAAAAATATTTTTATAAATCTATATCCTAAGCTATCTAATAATACTTCTACTAGTATACTAAACAAATTGCCTTGCATGACTTATATACACTGATGAACCCAGACTCAGATGCTCTAATGGTTTCCTGGAAGACAGAAAGCATTGCTGGAGTCTATCAGATTCTGTTTCAAGTGATCTTTGAGAAGTTAGAAAAAACTCCATTTTGGCATTGCTGCTTTTAGGGCGTATTCCAAGTACTTGTATAACCATCATCAGTGATCTAGAAATCTGCAAAAGATGCTGATATATTGCATTCATGGTATCAAAAAATAAGAAGATTGAGCACTGAATTTTCTACATAAAAATGGAGCTTGAGGTATTTATACAACCCTTTATAATGGAGATTAAAACTTACCCCTTGCATGTTGTCTGCAACTATTCACAACTTCTTACGTGAAATATCATTCCTATGTTATTATTTGGAAGATCTACTGTTGCACAAGGTGCAAATAAAACTCAAGTCTAACTTTTATTAGCTATAAAATTTAAATACTAACAAAGTATTGTCCAAGTTCAGTACAAAAGACTAAAGCAATTGGCCTGCACTGAGACTTAGAAAATGAACAAGCAGGTCCTGCAGCCTGCACAGAACCCATGCCACCCCCCCACCGCTCTCTGCACAGAGGTTGCCAAAGCGAGTGCCGTATATCTACGCAAGCTGCAACACAGACACCTCAAGTCAGATTCCTTCCCTCTGTTCCCAACAGTGAATCTTACAGCAATGAGCTCAAAAATGGGTTTTGTTGAGACTAAGGGTAATTTCTGGCCATGTTGACAAAGTACATTGTATCAGTCAAAAATGTCTCGGATAGATTAAAAATAATAGAACACTTTATGGATTCACTCCATTTCTTTAAATGGTTTTATTAAATCCTGTAAACAACAGATATCCTTTAGGGTAAAAAAAAAAAAAACAAAACAAAACCAAAAATCTACAAGACAGACACAATCCAGGGTTGGCACAAAGGTGCTGGATCACCAGTGTCACAGTTGAAATTCAGCAGGTAAGGCCTCTCATTTAAGCATGTCACTCAAGTGAGTTTTTCAGTTTGCTTTTGATAACTTTTTGATAAAGGGTGCAAAATAATTTTCAGTAACTTGTTTTCATCACCTCTATTAACTCCAGATTTTTTTTTTTTTTTTTTTTTCAGAAATAGAAGAGGGTTTTTTTATCTGAAAATCATATTATTTTGCATTCAGTATAGGGACAATCTTAACAAAAATTATTGTAATTTCTAATTCATGCACAAATATGATGATTTCTCAAGTGGTTAACTGATTAGTTTTCTAGACTGTTGTCTGCCAGAGAAGGGAACCAAATTCTCTGGGGAAGTATCAGCAACTCTAAATATAAAACCTCTCCATTTCCTTTCAGGATAAAATGTAAAATAGTCAACATGGCCGAAAATCATGCACTATTTTATTTACCTATTTGTATTTTGACAAGATAGCTTAACATTTTTATGTGGCCTTTGTAAAATGTCTTTCTAGTTTGTGTGAATACAGCTAGTGTTATATGATTAATTTCTTAGAAAACACATGCACTCATGAAAGGCTATGATAAACTGAACACATTTGCTACAGGGCCTGTTTAAAACACTACTGCTTGCAAGACCATCAGTTTGACATAGCCCGTTATAGAACAAAATAGGCCAAAACTAAAACTTGGCATGCCAGCACACTTTAATTCTGTATTTGTGAAATGATTTTTCTAACTTAGGAGCCCTTTTCACTACTTTAAAAGGAAAACCCACACATACACACAAAACTCTAACAATTCTAACACCATATTTGTTCTTTACCAACTAGCATATACCTTGTTTTAATGGTTTAAAGCGATTAAATCCTTCAAGATTGTGCATATCCAGGCATTACTGAGGAAATAAAGACACCCATCACTATTCTTCTTAAATTTTATTCCATAATAAAAAATAGAAGATGAAAGAAATAAAGTGTTCAAGAATTAAAGCAATTATTGGTCAATGTAAGGAGCAGTAAACTAATTATCTGAATGACAATTAAGGACCTGGTTCATCAAAAGTAATTCTGGGTCCTCCATAAGCTGTAGGCTTCTACAAAACAGAAACCCAGATTATCTTTTACTGAAGCAGGTCCTATATTATCTACAGAACACTTGATTTCATATTCTATTTATCCTTCTCTTTTTGTTCTTTCTCCTTCTTTTCACGTTCAGCTTTTGCTTCCTCCTCCTCATGTTGTTTTATCAACTGTTCCACCTCCTTTTGCTTCAGAACCCTTATCACTGTCTTTCCGTTCTCTCTTGTCAGTGTTGCAATTTCAACTGAAACATATGGAACAGACAGCGGTGTTACATTTTGTCCTTTAGAGAGAGCAATCATCATAAGGGTAAGATTTGGGGTTACAACTGACAAGGAAGCAGAAGGCTCTTGTCCTGCCTCTATAGAGAAGCTTGACTGGCAAGCCAGATGGCAGCAGTCCTTTTCTGCATCAGCATACACAAGTGCATTAATACCTCTCCAGTGATTCTTCTACCAGACACGTAGCCATTTCTGCTACTGCGCTAATACAGCCTACAATTCCTAAACTGTGGTCTACCCCCTGGAGCTGACCAAGGTGGATCATCCTCAACTAAGCTATCTGCATGCCTCTTAGGTTAAGGCTGAGAGCTGCTGCATCTTCTGAAAATTTTTTCACATGACAACTAAAAATCCAATCAACCACATCTAGTGTATGTACATTTGCTACATTTTCTTTTTTTAAGCAAAGGGTGTTATCCCGTTTTAGCGAACTGCTTACCTTTCTCTGCAGAGAGTTTACTAACATCCATGGTTTTGTTAAGAACCTTAATGGCTAATGCAAGTGCAGTCTTTAAGGTCATTTCTCCTTCTTTGTAGTCTTGCTTTAGCATTGACACAGCTGCCTATAAATTTCACAGAAATTAAAATGGTATCTTTGGGCAATCAACCAAACAGTTGCTTTTTGCAAGATAATATCAATACATGAGTAACAGCAGTGTTTCTACAGTTATCTACTTCTGCTCTGCACTAGTAATCAACAACTCAGTTTAATTAGTACAGTGCAATTTACACTTTTTTTTGCTTGACTTTGAGAGGAAAAACCCCAGAACTTACAGCACTGTTGTTCCCAATGCATGTAGCTTTCCACCCTCCATAATTTCCACTAGGATCACTTTGATACAGCTGAAATCCATAATGCTTATCCCAGCCAATATACAGCAACGAAACACCAAAAGGACGTTTTCCTGTTGAAAAGAAGGCTATTAGCAATCTAAATTTAGTAACAAGATTGGTCATGAGTGACAACTATTTTCTTTGATTTCTTTTTTCAAATCTATTCCTGTGAACTAGGATTTAACAGACTGTTCTGCACTTCTGTTGCTTGAGATAAGCACGCCAGCATTTCTTTCTAAGTCATGGGGGGGGAGGCAGCAGAGATTTATTTCATTTAACCCTAAGAGCAACTCATTTCTGTCTCCACAAATTGCAATTTCTCATCTCAGGACTTTAAATCAAAACTTAATATTTAAAGTATGTAGCTTAGCTGTTGAAGTGAATAACTTAACAGCATCAAAAGCCAGGTACATAAAAAGGTCATTCTTTCACACTACATATATGTAAAATAGCAGAATCATCAGTTCACGTACTAAGGAACACTACTTACAACACCATGTCTCTTGATCCACAGAAATAGTATTTTTTGAAGTGTTACACTATTGATACCCCTGCATATAGTCTCATTTGTGATTCATTGTGCCATTATGCTGGATGGGCCCAAAACGTTGAAAGGTTACAAACAATTCTTTGCTGGTCTTTTGAAGGCATTCACTAAGTCCAAGAGCATGCAAAGCATTCTATGCAATAGGCCAGAATCTCAGCCCTCAGTTCCTCAATTGCTAAAAAGTAGCACCTTCAATAGCAAAACCATAACAGTGACTACCCATTCCCCTCTAAAATTTGACTATTGTTTTTCTCGGTATAACTTTGTCATGGAAGAATTTGGTAGAACTGTCCAGAGACTCAGATGCTTCAAATTATGTAACAATCATTCTTTAGACATTTAAAAGCACAATGGTTCATCACATTTCATTACCTCCAAACTGCGTGTAAGCCTGCTTGATATCACATAGTGCTGTTACCAGTTGTTCACAAGGAATGGGCTCTTGATACTGTAACAAATACCTAGTAGGAAAGACAAAAAAACAGTTTTCAGAACTTGATGTGCTGACAGTATCCTGTACCACATTTAACAAGAAACAAGTTCCTAAGGTAGAGCCTCTTCAATCTAGCCGTTTTATTTCAACCAACCTACTTCTGCTCTACTAAATACACATTCATTTCCATTTAATACATAACCAGAATTGAATCTGACAACACAGGCAAGTAAAAACCATGTTAGCTATCAGCAGACCTACCTCTGTGCAATCAGTCTCAGTTCATTTGTTAGAACATTGGCATCTGAAGTTATTCCTGCAACACTGCAAGCCATATCCCTGCAATAAAAGCATACAAATTAACTGCATTCCCATCAATCTCCAACAACTGGACACGTCTTCAGACAGTGGTTCAAGCACAACGCCTACTGTTGGGCTTTTCTGATCAAAACTACACAGCTGCCATATAAAACAGGTTCACCCGCTCCTGCCTTTAGGTACACCAAAAATAATATCTAACCACTTTGTAAGAGCAGAGGTGGACAGCAAAAAGTAAGCAGGTCAGTATGTCAGTTACACATATAGTTCTGAGAAAAGGATCATGCCAAAGATGATTAAGTCCTGAGTGTCTTCACAAGAGCCATTAGCTACATACAAGTGCCTATCTGGAGGCCACCTGACACAGCACACCAGGATACTGAAGGAGCCACACAGATGTGACAGGCCTTCTGTGGAAGCTGCTGCCTGACACGCTGCGTTTGTGTAACTGAAACTTAATCTTGATTCGATCATAAGGAAATTAAGTGCTTCACATCCTTCGTTGTTTCGTTAGCTCTAAGATCTCTTTTGCCCAATTTGATATTGCTACCAGCTTTCACTACACAGAAAGGATTCAAGAAAAATAATCCAGATTATTTTTTCCAAGTGAATGTAAACATTTTTCAGAAGATGGAAGGGCTGGCCTAGACAACTACTCCAGTGCGCTATTACACTGCCTCTTTAAAAATCCTGTACTTCCTACAGTTCTAGCTGCTTTCAAGATCAACACAGAACAGGAGGCTAACAGGATGAAAAGCTATTTGTGTTTCATGTGCACCTTCTGGCAGGGATGAAGTTCTACCTCCCTTATAGGCAAGAGAGCATAATATATAACACTCTTCGCTCTGACATCACAAATTTAACTTCCAGAGAGCTAAAAAGGAAATTGTAATAGGGAGATATATCATCTCTGCTACAATTGTGGCAAAGAAACCCAAGGTGTGTTTTACCTAACTATCTTGTTCTCTTTGAATCACAAAAGAAAAACAAAGACCTAGAAGAGGATGCTGAGCTGAACTAGCATGGTCATTTTTGTGTGCATTCTTTACTCTGCCCCCCTCCAAATGGTATTTTGTGAAACTGAGAATTCCCAATTTTAACTGCTGCAATAACGTTAGCTTGTCTGGGGAAGTACCAACAAACAGGCTATTTCACCTAGAAAATTCTCCTAGAGATTAAAAAAAAAAAAAGCGATGCTTCTACTTTAGAAGAACTACTGAAGCGAACAATGACAAAACAGTCATACCTGTCTAAAACGCTGAACAAAAAGAAACTAACACTTCAAATAAAATAAACCCGGGTTCAGTGCTAAAATGTCTGAATAACAGCAGTGTTTTGTTACTGATAACATCACTGGACATCTGATCATCATTTCAACTTACTCATTAAGTTTGTATATTTTCTCGGAGAAAAACACTTCATCAAGAAGCTTGTGAATGTTGCGTCTCTCCGCTGCTAGCAAAACACCATCATTTGCTAGAATTCCCAAGCAAGTACCTGCATGACCAATTGCTTCCATTGCATACTCAACCTGGTACAAGCGACCTAGGAAAGGATTTAAATCAGTAACATCAAAAAAGTAACACTGAACAGGACAAAGTATGCAAGATGACTTAAATTTGCAAGAATCTGATGGATGCTCATTGTATGACCTAGTCTTGACTTCTTCAGTCTGTTACCAGGAGATAGTAAATTAACCAGTTGAAAAGGAGGAAGGAGTCAGAAAAGGAAAATCCACAAATCTGATAAGGTAATACAGGGCATCTCCAACGTGGAGAAACAACCCCTTCTTTTACAAAAAAAATAAAATCTACGGAACTCTCTGCTGCAGTAATATGAGCAAAAATGGATTTTCAACGATCAAAGAAAATATTTAATACTTCATTTTGAGTCCATCCCATCTAAAAGAAAAAAAGGAAAACACGGTTTGTACATACTTGTTCCAGCATGTGTAAGAATAACAAGGAGAGGTGTGATTGCACCAGCAGGATATTATGCATTCTCGGGGGGATGGAGGAACAATAGCAAAATTCATCTGCACTCAAACAAAAGATGAATGGTGAAGATTTGCTCAAGTTATTTCAAAAACATGGCAGGTGGTATTACTCAGTAATGGGGCACGGTCTCGTTATTGCTTGAAGTAGAATGAATTTGGAAGTTGCCACTTTGGACCTTTGATGTCCTTACAGAATTGGGTGCTACTTCTAGTGGGTAGATGGGATTTCTGTAACACATATATAGGTGGAAACATGCTATAAACAACCAACCTTTGTACAAGTAGTTTATTACTTAAGTTTTGAGAGGCTGGATAGAATAGTCAGAGTTTACTTGAAAGCATGGGCTTAAAAAATACCTTCTGGAGAAAATATGGTAGTTCTGGAGTCATATCTTCGAGACTGTAAAAAGCAATAGCTAGTTAACTTTCATCGTTCTCTTGTCAGAAAGCAACCTTCTAAAATTAGCCGCACTCCGACCCGCATATAAAAAGCCCCGGTCGCTTCGTGACCTCAGTTTGGCACCCACGGTACGGCAGTAACGCCGCCAGCACCACACGCGCGGGCCTGGCCCACGGACCCCGCTGTGCCCACACCCCCGTCCCCGCAGGGGC